GGGCGTTCCGCACACTATTTGAAGCTCCGCCCACTTCCTAGGAGCCCCGATTACTTTCTCAAAATGCTACACATTAGCAGGCTAGCGTCTCAACTGGTAGATTAGAGTCTCTTTGGTCACACGTAACAAAAAAAGACAAGGTTTGTACTGAGTGACAAACGAGACTCTAACTTATTAGATGGGACTCTTTCCTGCCAATTCGAGGCATTTCGTGGAATGGGCGGGGCTTGTCCTGGCAACCCAAAAACATAAAAAATTTCGAAAAAAAAACGCAAAATAGGTGTGGCTAGGCGGAGTCGCTCATGTGGGATGTACAGCCTTTTTTGTTGATATGTATGTGCGAACTAACAGAAGTGAAAAAGTCGCCGAAACAGAAATTATAGGATGGAATTTGAAAAACAATGACCACGCTGAAATGCGGGCGTGGCCGTCAGGGAGGGGCCCTGCAGTACTGTCTAGTTTGGCAAGGTTAAGTAAGTCTTGAATATGATGCGAAAACTCGTGAATTTGCTTTGAAAGTCGCGAATTTGGTTTGAAAAGTGGTGGATTCGGCTGAAAAGCCATGACATGACTTTTCATGAATGTAAAATGAAAATGGTGTATATTAGGAGGAGTGGCGCACAAATGAGGAACAGTCTTGGCCCATTCGGTTATCGCGGGAATCGCCCTAAGAACAAGTCTCGTACCAGCGAACGACATTCATGAAATGAAAATTTGGTTGTTCACGATCAAAGATCGAACCTCGCCTATAGCACCATCCTCTACCCTTGCCCACTACCGCTCCATAATATTGCCAGGATAAAAGGAAAAGCACTCCGGTTTGGTGGGCACCAAACGGCGCTTAGCAAAGTTTGGGCAGGCCACCTCGTAGAGATCTGTTATTTCCCTTAATTAAATTGGATCACTTGTGCCATTTCGGAGCATCACAAAAGTTCACAGGTCTTGCAAAAAGAAACCTGCTAGCTAGAATAAAATAACGCAAGCAAAATGCCCTCCCAAAAGAGCAACGCCTAAAAATGTGACGAAAATATGTCTAACGCTCAAATGAATATTCTAGGTATATACGCACCATGGAACTCGCAGAACACTTTGTTTCACAAGACAGCCTTTTTCACTCTTTTCTTGCCTACTACAGTGACTTTTCGGTAGGTTCGCCACGTATACCTTCGACTGCAATCAATATTAATTATTAAGTACAACGGACATATGGCGATCGTATATAGCCCAAAAGCTTCTGCATATGATCGGAGAGACAGTGGCGTTCTATCCACCCAATGCTGTGCAATATAGAAATGCTCATGATTACCTGGCCGATTTCGAGGATGAGAGGTACACTTCGCCTTTGAAAAGCGTCGTACACGCCGACAGAATATGCACCAGGCTTTTTAAGCGCTGAGCTGGTGTGATATTTGTTTCAAAGACAAAATACACGCTCTCCACCGGGGATCCTGGTAATTGCCATATGGGACGTGAAAGGGTTCGCAGCTGCGCTGCAGTGCCACTTTCCTCGCTCAAGAATGCGCAGGAAGGGGCTGGAGCAAAGCGGTACCCCGAGTGCCGTCTTCACACTTCGCCCGCACCATCCTCAACGTGGTGCACTTGCGTCGATATCAAGGTCCCTCAGCGGAACATTCATTAGCGATAACGAAGGTGAGAGTGCGTTGACAAGAGGGCGTTTGATCATCGTTAAGCTTGTGGCTAGCCGTGAAGCAGCGCGAAGGGAGGCGGGTATGACTGTTCTTCAATCCCGTTCCCATGCACCTTCGAGTGCAGAATGTGGCACGCTGGTGCAGTCGCGAACCCGTACACTTCGCGCATGGCAAGAGCCAGGAGAGAGCCAAACTTCTCCAGCGCACTTTTTTCTGATCAAAGCAGCTGAAGAAAAAGTTCCCAGAAAAACCGAGCCCGAATTCCGAAAATTGGTGTGTGCATAGTGAGGTTTAGCGCGGAGCGAGGTTTGCCTACGCCCGCCTTTCGGAAAGGTTCGAGAAACCTATGCATATAACAGATCAAAAGGACCTGACTCTGGCAAAGGAAGCTCTACAATATGCATGGTCAAGCATCACATTGAGGGAAATCGAAAGATCTGATAAGAGAAAACTTCCTTTTGCGCGCAGTTTTCTCAGTGTACGATTGAAACTGGCTACAGCTCATCACGGGAGCGGGAAGGTGCTACGCAAATTAAAAGAGTGGAGTTTTCATATGTAAAAGTGGAGTATTCTCATTGCCGTTTCCCACCCGCTCCTGCAACATGCGTAAATATCTTTATAACTGTGATTGGTGTCAGTTGATGGATAGTGGGATTGATTGACTCAGCCGTGAGGTGCGCCACGCACACGACTTGCACCTGCATTCCTGCTGACACTCAAAGTCATGCTGGTCCATGAAACTACTTTCTGAGTGCGATGACACACTCTATGTAGTTAGGAACACACGAAAGGATTTTCGCGATGGGCTACGTTGTTTTGAAATCATCGCTTCAGTTTCGCTTTCAACCCTTGTCCCGCACACCTCTGGTCACAGTTCTGTTGACTTCTGGATTTTCTGTATAAGATCCCCTCCCTTCATGAAGGCAGATACGGCTCCCACGTTGAGGGTTCCTCAGATGCTTGACCCTGACAGTATGAGTGTTCTTCTGGACTAATAAACATCTAACAAGAAACACTTCAGGGATGTCTACCTCAAATCGGGAAAGCTCATCGAGTTTCTTGATGAATGGAACTGTACACATGCAGAAATGGACAAATGTACTGCATTGCTTGCACAGCAACTTTAGTAAGTATTTTATGGGTGGAAATGTTCAATATACCACAGGGTGCAACCTGTGTCCGTGAGAAGAGCAAGAACACTTCAATTTGACTCATCCCAAAAATTTTTTTGTCGCTTTGATCTGCACAGAAAAGCACGGAAATGATACAAATATAGCTGATACCGTCACAATCACCCAGGACGGTGATAGGCCGCCCTTGCGTGATCTAGTTCCTTTCGGCAGCGTTCGGAATTCGCACTGACACACCTTACAGTGCGTCGACGCCCGTCATCGCGAAGTCTCAACGCTGTCTTTCATACACATGGTGATCCCAAATTGCGTCATCAAAGGCGTAAGGCACGATAATCCGATACCTGCTCAAAAATGTAGCAGGGGTGCTTTATAGGTAGAAAATGACGAGAAAGTGAAGTTAAATTGCCGAACACCTGCGAGTAAAATCTTTGTTCTACACAGCATTGGACGAGCATTTTTGGACGAATTTTCCGTTGGCACTGTGCCAACATTCGTGTCTCGTGATAGATACGGATGCGCGTACGTATATCCATATCCATAGAGCAACCCTTCATCTCATAAATGAAGCGATTAGAGTACCAGCGTCGGTGTCTGTGCGGTTATTAGGGGACTGGCGTTTGCGATGGGCGTCTGGGTAGGATGCTCACCCCTGCAGGTCTTGTCGCTTTATTCATGCCTTTTAGGTACGAGAGACACAAGGGGGGGGGGCTACCATCACATGTGTCTAAAAAATTCATATCATTATGGAGGCTTGAACGGAGAATCGCAGGGCGAAGA